CGAGTTATCTACCAGTTTTGGTGTAAATTCTGTCTGTTGTGCCCCTGACCCTCGCCCCCTTACTTTAAAGAACACTCCGTATTTGTGTATGTGTATACTCTGAATTCTAGTACGTGTAGTTTCTTCAAATACTACATACGATAGCTGATAGTCGATTGTCTTTGGCATCCTCTTCGCACAGTCCGTGAACTCCGTGAACCCTATCGAGTTCAACAGGCCCTATTGCATTCAATAGGTTTGGTATGTACTTAAAGCTACTTGTCCAACGAATGCCAAATCCGGCAGCCCTATGTGCTGTCGCCTCACCCCGTTTCCTTCTGAAAATTGGTGCTATCGAACCGCTGTGTTATCCGTTGCAAATTCGGACAACGAACAAGGGCTATTCGATAGTGCCAAATTTTTCGAAGGCGGCTCTTCGCCTGGGTTCCTGATTTCCTTCATAGGAACCACTTACCCATAAGCTACAGTTCAACTGGGAACTTCTCAGATCTTGAGCTCCGACTGCTTTTCCGTATTTAGAATCCCTATCTCTAGGGTACTCTGCAGGGTTTTTTATAGGAGATTCTAGAGGGAATCTTATAGGGTATTCTATAGGTATTCTGTAGGTGGCATGTGTAAGGTATGCAGGGGTTATAATGTACGAGGCGCAGGGCCAGCAGATGACCTTTCGGGTCTGTGTTTGGAGGAAGGGCATGGACGTGAGAAGCGGCCCTTACATCCAATGCTCGTGTGTTGCGGGCTACTTGATTGAGTGTAACGTATTCGAGGTTTCAGAGGAGTGACCCGGGCTCTATGGCACAATCTTCTTGAAACTTGCTGACAGCAGTGGCTGGGTATTCTCCAAAATTCGCTCCGGAACTTTCTGCGAGCCGGCCAAAGCATGGCAATCGGAGAAGTGGCATGGTCAGGCTTTGACATGCTGCAACCTCCAGGACCAAGAGAAGCGCGGATGGAAAAACCACAAGGATTGGTCTTGGAGAGGGGGTTCCGACTCCAAAGAGAGCCCTCTTTCGGTGGACAGGTCATGACCGGGGTTGGTCCTGGGGAGAGAGTTTCAAAGCCAGGACGACTCATGATCCGAAAACTCGGATTGACGCGACTGGCCTGGGACGTGATGGTACCTCTCTGCCCTTCCGGCATGTGATGCAGAGAAGTTTGTCAGCTCGGCAAAACTTGACATGCTTCTGCCTGATGTGAGGCCAATGTGCCATGTTGACCATGCGGCAGCTACCATGCAACGAACTGTTGTTGTGTCTGTGAGGCCCGAGCCCTTTGAAAAGCTTACGGCTCAAGGCAACGACAGGGTGCCTCCTTGGAGCTTACCCAAACTACCGAGTTGTGACACAAAAGCCTTCGCTCTCTGGGATGCCTGCCCGATACGTACGCCACATGCTCATGTCGAATGAAGCACAAGACTGCATGCCTATATACCATAGATTCCCATAGATGCATTTAAACCTTGCTGTCATTTACGGATTTGCTTGTTCAGCCTACTGTGCAGACGATGTAGTTGTAACACCGGTTCTGCTGCAGCCAGTGATCATTATCATTAGTAGCAGTACTATGATTACCACTAGTGCTGCTCCTACTCTGCACTCTTACTCTTACTGTTATTTCTGTTACTACCGTTATTGCGGCTTTTGCCGCAATTTCTTTTATTACTGTTGTAGCCGTTTCGAGGCGGCCTTGCACTTCCTGTGTGTTCGTCCCTGCTTTCAGGCGCTCGAGATGGCAGACACGACGATCAAGGCGACCTCTTCGGGAGAATACAGAAGTAGTTTGGGGTATACGGGCCTACGTACTCGGACAACTGATAGGTTTTACTTCAAACTTTAGGATAGTCCCAAATCAATCACATCCAGGGAAGCACCGGGAAAAAAAAGAAAAATTGCACTGTACATGTCGCTCATTGTGGTGTTTTCTCGGGGGTGGAGTTTCTTGTAACAGGTCCGCGTGATCAGGTACTCACATACTCTGTCCTTGAGTTGGCCTCCTGTCCTGCAAGGTGCGTAGCCACGGTAACTCAACCATGAGTGGTGCCGCGCGGCTTTTCGCAGGAAGGCATCGGCGTCGGCCTGTCCACTGATCAAGCTGCATCGACCTACCATGACATGGCGGTCCTCGAGTCGCGAGTGTCCGATGCCCAGCTGGGGTTCAGGTTCAGCAGGACTGGGATCGTCGTTTCTTCAAATTGTCGCCTGCATTCGAGGAAGAAGCCTGATGTGAAGCGAGTCGCCGACCTTTACAAGAAGAGTCTGTGGCTCGTGCCAGACCGGCCGATCACTCAGGCCAGCGCAGAGAGACACAAAACACAAGAGACAAGACCCTACAAGCCTTGAGCCCTACAAATATTAAATAGGTATTACAAGTGTGAACCCTTGACTCCGCAGGAGAACTATGGCCTGACGCTCGCCGTCATGGGTCACTTCGAGGATGCGCTTGGAGCTCTCAAGAAGGCCCAAGCCGTAAACTCTGCACCCAGCCCGATTTTGGGCCCAGTATGGCCCCCTTGCAGATGTGGGGCGGGGGTGTCGGGCCGGGGGGGGGGGGGGGGGTATCACATGTCACATGTCATATAGTCATATACAACACATGATATGTATTCACAACTACTATGACTATGACGGTATACTTCCTTTTAGCAAGCCAGGCAGAGCAGCTTGGTCGCGGAGATTCTGCAGAGCTGCAGAACGGGCCAGGAGCCCCAAGAGTTTGGAGATTGGAGGGTTTAGGGTTTTAGGGTNNNNGGGTCTAGGGCTTAGGGTTTTGGGGGTGTTAGGGTTTAAAGTCAGGGTTTACGGTTTGTGGGACTTGAAGCGAGCAGACGCGGCGCAATGAGCTGTACAGAGTCCTAGCTTCAGGCTCGGAGCTATTTACTTTCAGCAGGGCCAGCTGCAAAAGGTCCGCTTCCAAGACATCTCACATGCTGAGTTGTGCGAGGGCGGTCTCGACACTCTGACCGCGTCTCAGGCGAAGTCTCGTTTCAGAAAGGCTACAGAGTGTGGACCCGAATGTCAGAGAGCAGTCTCTCGTTCAGGTATCGTGCTTCTGTGTCGCAGCCTGGTGACTTCGCACTGTGTGCAGTGGACTGAAACGAAATTCATTTGGCTTGAGGTTGCGCCCTGGTTGGAGGGATGCGAAGGAAAACTTGGATGCTGCAGCGGCCACAGCTTGTACACTGCTTGGAGAGCTGTCTTGGGCTCGTGCAAACGTTACAGAAGGGTTCGGGCAAGAAGCTAGCAAAGGTGACCGCTGAGCTGAAAGGATCCGCGGGGCAAAGATCGATCCCCCGCCGGCGCCAAGCCGACCAAAATGCCTCCCCTGCCGCTGCAATTGCAAGGTTTGTTTCTAGCATACCCTAAAGCTCCAGTTACCTAAGTAGTGGGTTACTAACCATATATTATGTACCCCAGTAACCTACTATTTAGGTAACTGATACACTGCGAGCCAGCTTTCCACGTGCTTGGCAAAGCAAGCCCCGCCATAGACATGAATGCTGTCATTTGGCAGGGCGCTTCAAAGCCAGAAGAAAAGTTGGACCTGGACGAGCACGAAAAGGCCTTCCGTGAAACAATGCGTCGACAACCCATGCCCGAAACCCTGAGACCTGAATCCTTGATAGACCCAGCCTGACGCAGCAGACCTGCAAACCTTCGGCCCAGGGCCCGCCAAATTGGAGTACACCCAAAACCCCAAACCCTATAAACCCTAAAACCTAAGCCCCTAAAACCCTAAGCCCTAAACCCTAAAGCCCTAAAGCCCAAAAAAGCCTGAGCCGTGAACCCCAAGGCCTGAACGCCGAGCCCCAAGTCTCGCAGGTGCTGCTCAGTGAAGTCCTGGACCGATCCCCGGGAGTCTCCTGGGAGGCGATTGCGGGCTTGGACGAGGCCACCCAGGAAAATGGATTTAAATTTAGGGTTTTGATTAGGGTTTAGGATTGATAGGGATTATTTAGGGTTAAGGGGTTTGATTAAGGATTTGGGTTTAGGGTTTAAGTAGGGTTTGGGGTTTATTTAGGGTTTGGGGTTCAGGGTTTTTGTGCTCTCTGTGTCGGTCTAGACTGGGGCTTAGATGTGCATGATGCACATGCGCACAAACGACCTACAGACGCATGTTTCAAGCTGTGTGCAAACACGGCTGTGCATAAATGTAATTGTGTATACAATTATGCATGTATGCATAAATAGATATGTATATAGGTACATATGCACACATATTATTTACCTCCCCTCCCCTCCCCTCCCCCCTGCAGGGCAAGGGCCTATGAGAAGGGCCCCCACGACAACCGAGAACTCCCGTCACTGCCACAGCCGGAACCATGTGCGCAACAGTTGGGTAGAGGTAGACTAGAGGGCACGCTGCATCTCGCAGCATGGCAATGTGCAACAATGGAGTTTGAAGCATATAACAGGGAATAAAGCTCAATGGCAGGTCAAGCGGCTGTTCTATGAGATTGTGGTGGCTCCGGTGCGCCGCTGATGCATCGCAGATGCTGCCATGTCTCTGTAGCGATCCACGTCAGGTCAAGAATCCACTGTTGTTCTCCGGAGTGCGAAGCCCACCAAAAGGCCTGCTGAATGCCACACCCTGCATTTGTGGCGCTGCCCGAAAGCGCCCCAGCATTCTTTAATTGCTTTAAACTTGTGCTACAGTAGTTATGCTACAGCGTTCGTACCCTGAAAGTCTCAAGAACAAATCTTGACCTAGCCTTTTTTACCTATGGGCCTGGAAAGGCGTGCTGCTGTTTGGGCCCCCTGGAAACGGGAAGACGATGCTCGCCAAGGCACGAACAGGGTCCTGGAGTTGCAGGGAGCTTATGGCAGATGGGGAATAAGGTTCAGGGGTTAAGGGCCCTAACTCGGCGGTTGCTTCTTCTCAGTTTCTGTGGTGGCTGGAGGCTGTTGCAAGTGAGTGCAACGCCACCTTCTTCAGCATCTCCGCTTCCTCTTTGACTTCCAAGTGGGTTGGCGAGTGCGACCCCCGGCAGCCAGTGTAGTTGATTATGATAAATGAGTAGTAGGACTTAATTACTAGTAAATTTCTAGCTACTACCACTACAAGCCACCAGCAGCCATGGCTCCGATATTTACGCAGAGTAGCTAGGCTGTTCTATAGCAGCGATTCTCATGGTTGTCCTGACGTTACTACCATATGTATTACAAGAGCGTACACAATTATCACCATAACATACTGTTGTCTGTTCCGTCTTTTATGTAATGTGTAATGTGCCCTAATATGCCCTTTAAGCCCTATTCTTTAAAATTTAGGCCCCTAGACTACTACTTCTCGTGGCTTTTTGGACCTCCGACTCTCCCCCCGCCTGAGGTCGGAGAAGCAGATGCGAGCTCTCTTTAGCCTTGCCAGGCTCGGGTTCCCGGAGATTCCACCACTTTTGGTGCTCTTGTTGCAGACTTTGGGATGTCACTGTAGGGTTTAGGGGCTTAGGGTTTTACAAGGGTTCAGGATTTAGGGGCTTTGGGCTTGGGAATCTTCTGATTAACTAAGCTTCCTTGTGTCCCGTCACTGCGTGAAGATCTGTTGCCACAGCGCCTGGAGGAAAATGCAGCCTGCAGTCATCTTCATGGATGAGATTGATTCCATGCTCACAAGCCGGTCTGCCGGTGAGCATGAGGCACTGGGAGTCTCTCGCATGTCCATAGTTTCGCACATAGTCAGTCCCTCCCGTCTCCCCACTCTTGCCCAAGGGCTCCAAGTATGCAAATGGTACCTACTTTGGGGCCTAAAGTCTATAAATAGGACCTACTTTGGGCTATTTGGAGCACTAGGGTTGCACGAAGATCCCATCCCGGTACTTCCCAGAGCCCGCGAGAGCCTCAGGCGGCGCGACGCCTGAAGACAGAATTCCTTGTACAGTTGGATGGTGCTGCTTCAGGCCGGCCCGAGGCGACGGTTAGTGCGGAAAGATGTTTATGTAAAGTTGCAGTCAGGTGGTGAAGACCGAGTTCTGGTACTGGGAGCTACCAACAGGCACGCGCTCCCTTTTGTGCTTGCAGCTTTTCAGCTTGTCGACTGCTTTGCAACATGCCTTTGTGTCTCTGTGTTTTGTGCGTGTGCGCGTCATACTCAGAACCCGAAGTTCATGCAGAAAATGTGGACCTCGATACGGAGGGCAGTCGAGCCGTAGCTCATTTTGAGGGACGAACTCGGACAAGGACCGGAAGCAACATGCAACACAAGCTGAATACAAGCAAGTAGACCTTCCACGATGTAGTGCCCAGCGCACCCCGGTGCCTGGAGAGCTACATGGCGCAAACTTCCCCGAGCATTCGGGGACGGTGGCCCGCATGCCGCCAATATGCAGCGAGCCTACCTCGACTCAGTTCATCTCGGAAGAGCAGTGTGCCTATTAAGACTGATTGTTGTGCGACGCCCGTACTATCAACAACACTGCTGGGATTCGCAAGTTTTCGCCGCCACTATCCTGGGTTTAGGGTTTAGGGCAATGCCACAAATCAGCAACCAAATGGCCCCGTTAGCGGCATCTCTTCAACTCCTTGGCCTTCTTTGGATCCGGAGCCCAGGCTGTCGCTTGCAGCCACAGCACCATTAAGCCTCTCCGAGGCGCCAGCTCTGTTGAACTGTTGGGGTTTAGCCCCGGGTTTAGGGTTTAGAGCCTTCGGGGGGTAGGCTGCACCGCTTCAGCTACCCTAAGACGACCAGGAAGCGTAGGAACAACAGAAGGGAGTGTGCAGCATGTTTTGTGTTTGCGCTCGCCGCTTGCCCAAACTTACAGCCGAAGCCGGTATCCTCTTCCGACCCGCGGCAAGCTTTTCGATCCGAAAATGCTGACTTGCAGGATTCGCACGGCCACGAGTTCAGCCCTCAGTGCTGCACCATTGGATATCCTTGCTTGTGCTTTAGGGTTTAGGAGTCTGGGGCTTAGCGTCCGCAAATCCATAAGGAAACATAATTGAATAGAGTAATAGCACAGTTCGACGGGCTTCAATTGCATCGAGAGCCACGAGGCCGAATGAGAGTAGGAACACAGTCACAGCAACTTGACGCAAACAACGGGCAAGGATTCCATGAACAGCTGTTCGCTGCAACAGTTTTTGACGCAATAGAGCACCCGCTGTTAACTGCTCTTGCCTATCCTTTGTCGTTCCCACAGCTTGTAATACTAAGCAATCTCAGCAGCAGGAGCAGCAGCAGCAGCAGCAGCAGCAATAATAGCAGCAGCAGCAGTAATAGCAGCAGCAACAGCAGCAGCAACAGCAGCAGCAATAGCAGCAGCAATAGCAGCAGCAATAGCAGCAGCAATAGCAGCAGCAATAGCCATTGCAGCAATAGCCATTGCAGCAATAGCCATTGCAGCAATAGCAGCAGCAATAGCAGC